CCCCAAAACCCCAAAACCCCAAAACCCCAAAACCCCAAAACCCCGAAAGTTGGAAGGTATATTGAAATTTAGCACTAATATATAAATTTAGCTTTAATTGCTATAACTTGAGCTTTAGTGGTTTGATAGAAAGCGCAAGAAAGTTTGATAATGTACTCATCAAGCAAGCTTGAAAAGAGGAATAGACATAATCAGTTTGGATAGTTATTGTTAATTATGAAGGTATTTTAGGATAATTAAAAGCAAAGAACATTAAATATATTGAATTAGATCTCTCGGCTATTGTTTGTATATTTCCTATTAATTTCAAGTATGAATCTGAAGAATATGCCCAATTAAGGCATAAAATTTTCTTAAGTTATTATTGGGGATAAACTAGAAGGTTAATTTATTAGGCTAAATTTTATCTCACCAGAATATTATTAACGATAGCTTATCAAGCTTGTGAATATGTTACTATATTTTATTCTGAAATGTCGTTGTAATTTTATCCAACTGCTAAAATGTAACTTTAAAGTCTAATTTTCTAGAAGTTTATTTCAGAATTATCGTTACACCCACAGTAATCATTAAAGAAATGTCAGTATTTATTAGATGAACTTATTCATCTGATTAGCCTCCAAGAAGATTCTTAAGCCTTTTCTTATAATCGGTGTCTTCTTCATCTTCCTCTTCAAATGTAATTTCTTTTGGAATTCCTCCTTTCTTCTTGATCCAGTCAAACTTATTATCAACTTCGAGCCCTCTTTTGGTTAATAGCTTTTTAAATAGCTTCCTAAGGTCACTCAAGCAAGGCTTGTCTTCGAAGTTAAGGCTCCGGCAGTAATTTAGATATTTTACGAATTCTTTTGGCAGCTTAGCACAAAGAGTTTCAATTGGGGTATCTCTCTTTTTCTCTTTTATTTTTTCATATTTTTCCTTATTTAGTTTTTGCGTCTAGTCCTTGCCATGGAAGCTTGCCTTTGAGAAAATAAAGCATTACATAGGCTAATCCTTCTAGGTCATCTCTCCTTGACTGCTCGTACCCCAAATGAGTATTAAGAGATGCATATCTTGCTGTTCCTGTTAAATTCTTTCCTTCTTTCCATGGAATATGGAGCCCTGTCTTTGGATTCCGGTATCTCTTTGCTAGTCCAAAGTCAATCATGTATATTCAGTCTGAGTCCTTATTCCCGACCAAGAAATTGTCGGGCTTAATATCTCTGTGAAGAAAATCTAGAGATTGAATATGTTCAATTCTCTCCAAAGCCTGAATCCCAAACATTACTGTCGAATGCAACGAAAATTTGTGGCCGCAATAATTAAGCATGTTCTCAAGACTCGGGCCGAGCAAGGAGATCACCATGATATTGTAATCTCCCTCAATAAGGGCTCCCTTAAGTTCTGGAATTCCTTTTCCTTTTAATAGTTTTAAGAGCTTGGCTTCGTGTAAAAGCTGGGGATGCTTTGTCCTATTATCTTCGACTTTGACGGCAACTTCGTCTCCTTTAATATTATCTTTTGCAACGAACACTTGGCCGAATGCTCCTTCACCAAGCTTCTTGCCAATTTTGTATTTCCCCCCAAGCTTCAGGTTCAGCTTCATTATTATTTTAAATTTATTAATATTCTTCTCATTTGTAAATTCCCATCTGGGGTTTTGGGGTTTTGGGGTTTTGGGGTTTTGGGG